GAGTTGACTTTTAAAATAATATTTTTATTTTGGTCTTTTCCCGAGTATTAAGTGTGTAAAGTAAAGTCGTTGTCTGTTGGTGATTCACACTGGGTTCGATTCCCAGCAACGACCGCCTCCTCATTATTTTGTTTTATTATATTGATTTTTTTTTTTTTTTTTTAAAAAAAAAAAAATAAAAAGATAAGTTATTCCTTTTTTTTTCGTTTTTTTTCTTGTTTTTTTTTTTATTTAACGAGTACTAACATATATTTAATTTTATTTTTTATTATTAGTTTAGATTGTTCGTCGATTTTAGTGAAGTTCTTCGTTCGTCGTTGGTGTCGTCCAGTTCGGTGTTTCTCTTCTCGTCCCTGGTGTCTTCCATTCGGTATTCCTTGCAACGTGGTTTCTTCTTTCGTTGTTGGTGCCGTCCAGTTTGGTGTTTTTCTCTTCGTTTTTGGTGTCGTCCAATTTGGTGTTCTTTCTTGTAACGTGGCTTCTTCTTTCGTCGTGGTGTCGTCCAGTTTGGTGCTTTTCTTTCGGCTCTAGCGTCGTCCAATTCAGTGTTTCTTGTGATGCGGTTTTTTCTTTGTCATAGGTTCGGTGCTTTTTTCTTTTTCAATGTTGTCGATTTTGGATTACGCGTACAGCTTAGTATTTCTTTTCGTTTTTTTTTTTTTTTTTTTTTTTGGTTTCAGTTTTATTTTCGTGTTCATACAGTACTAACTCTTCTTTCTGTTATTTAATCGTTTACCGTCGTCATCGTCGTGTTTTGCTTTTTGATGCCGTTAATTGGAATAATTCCGTTGTTGGTGTCGAGTTTTGTTGCGCTATACTTGGCACTTTTTTCATCGGTTTGGTGTTGATTCACTACGACGGTAGTATCTTGAATAGGCGTTAATTGGAATATTTTCCATCATTTGTGACGTGACATTCTGTTTGCTGTGTTGGCGTGATCCACGCACTGTATGTAATATTTGGTTTTTCGTGTTGAATTTTTAGCTTTGTAAGTTGTAGTTGGGTTCTAACATTAGGAAGTTGGTTTTAAAGTTAGGATTTGGACTGAGATTAATGTTAAGTTAAGCGTTTAGGAAAAAGGAGCGAAGTGAACCTTGTAGGTGTGGCTGAACGTAAACGAAGCAACACAAATTGCACTGGGTATAATAAAGTGGTGTATGGGAATGTATAGCTATGCATAAATTTAATAAATCTAATAAAAAATAGTGTTGAATCTGAATATGATTTTACATGATAACCATAAAAATTTTAAAAGTTTTTTTAATACTTCCAAACTTTGATAAATAATAAATTTCGTAATTTATAAAGACCATTGTTGAACGAGTTTCAAGTGCTGAAAACAAAGTCATATCTTATCGTTGAACTTTCATTGTATCCTGGACATGATCATGCATGGTTTGAACCACCTATGGAAAAGAAATAACATCTAGTGATCCTAATTTTTAGTTTAGCTGCGTCGATTTTTTCAAATTTTTGCTGGTCAAATAATTATTCACACACAAAATTCTGATTATTGCAAAGTTTTTATTTTATTTTTTTGCTATATTTTATTGCAAATGTCAAGAGTAATTTAGAGATTTATCATCTAGCTTAATATGAAAGATATTAAGATCCATCGCTATAGATTACATCCAATCATTTTATTCGCATTAATTTAGAACTTTGTCACATAATCACACTTTCTATTGCAGTCGGGCACATTACCAAAAATGGGGGTCCCGCTAAAGCCTTGTACCCACGTGACTTTTCCTATGTAGATCAGCCAATCAAGATTATGAAATTTTGTTTACACGGATCATCCCGAAGAAGCCAAAAAATCAAAAAACGCAAAAATACAAAAAATGGCAGTCTAAACCTGCCTTGGTGCACTAATAAAAAATGCCGGGAAGGCAATTTTACCTATAGAACTGCCCTAACCCTAACCTTAAACTAACCCTAACCCTAATTATAATTAAGAACTTCAAAATCACGTGGGTACAAGGCTTTAGCGATCCCCCATACAAGGTGCGATCTACATTGTCCATTTTAGGCAAAATCCCTGACTGTATTAAGGTAAGGTTATCGTTATCGTTATGGCATCTTTTACGTAGACATGAATTACTGTTATGCTACACTGCAGTTAATAACAAGTCCTGTAACACAATTAGCAAATTGTAATGAACTGTTGAACTTTTACAAATAATCATTTTTTTCGTTATTTCTTAACATTTATTGAAGTATGCTACCAAGAACTCGAGACGGTAATGTAAATTCCTATAGATTTGACTTATTATATAATTACATACTGAGGTCTCTCTTATTCCACGTCTAGATTACGATAACGGTAAAACTTATAAATCAAGGCACTCTTTTATTAAGGTAATTCATATATGCTATTAATCGTTTTTTTCTAAATAACTAAAAATTTTTATTTTTCAAACCTTAGAAATTATACAAAAAGTACATGCCATTTTCGCGGGCACGGTGGCTTTTTATTATTGTAATATTTGGTGCTCTTTATTTTGTGTTTATTAGTAAATATATATTTTTTGAACAATCAGATTTTCAACCACCTATCAAGGAGGTTAATAATGAGGACACTAAATTAATTCTAGAGGATTTAGTTACAGATCCAATATTGGATTCTCCTATACAAGTTCATAATGATCAAACTTGGTCTGAACGTCAGATGGATGTAAAGAAAGCTTTCAAGCATGCATGGGACGGTTACGTTCGTGATGCTTGGGGTTATGATGAGTATCACCCACTTTCTCATAGTGGATCTAATCTATCTAATGCTGGAATAGGTTTTACTATTGTAGATTCTCTTGACACACTTTTAATAATGGACCTTAAAGAAGAGTATGAACATGCTCGTGATTGGGTTGCTAATTCTTTGGACTTTAATGTAGATGGTGATGTAAATGTTTTTGAAACAACCATTCGAGTTCTTGGTGGCTTACTGAGTGCTTACCATTTATCTGGTAACGATGGGCTTTATCTTGCTAAAGCAATCGATTTGGGTGATCGTTTGCTTGGTGCTTTCTCTTCGCCAACTGGAATTCCTTATGCGTCTGTGAATTTAGCTAGACGAGAAGGGATCAGGGCTCATTTTAATGGTGGTGCAAGTTCTACTTCTGAAGCGACTACATTACAGTTAGAATTTAAATATTTAAGCCTTCTTAGTGATAATTATGAGTATTGGGATAAATCTCAAAACATTATGCTTATTGTAGATGAGCTTAAAAAATACGATGGTTTAGTGCCTATATTTTTAAGGTAACTTTTCACGTAATATTAAAATCGAATTAATAATATTTAGTGGGTAGTTTAATTCAACCTTTTCAAATAAATAGTCCAAATGATGGTCAATTCTGGGGAGGAAAAATAACATTGGGCGCTCGTGGTGATAGTTATTATGGTATGTCAAAGTATATTTTTATCATGTTTTAAAATAATTAATATATACATATATACATACATATATATATATATTGTGTGATTATTAATTATTATTATTAATTACTTGCTTACATTTTTTACCTTATTTTATTTATTTCTTTGTCTATTTTTTATTTTTTTTTTTCAATAGAATACCTCTTGAAGCAGTTTATTCAAACCTCTTACACTGAATATTTTTATCGTCGTATGTACGATGAAGCTATCAAAGGGGTAAAAACTCATCTTATAGATCGTTCTTACCCTTCTGGGCTTTTATACATTGGTGAATTGGCCGGTTTTGGTGATGATGTAATCAGCCCAAAAATGGATCACCTTGTATGCTTTTTGGGTGGAAATTTGGCTCTTGGTGCGACACGAGGTCGAAAAGTACAAGATGTTCAAAAAAATATGTCCGATAATGATTTAGAGGATCTTAATATAGGAAAAGAATTGACAAAGACATGCGTCGAAATGTACTTTAGTACAACTACTGGACTTGCCCCAGAAATAGCTTATTTTTCTACATCTGATGATGCAACCACCGATATAATTATAAAGTCGCTCGATGGTCATAATTTATTGCGTCCTGAGACTGTTGAAAGCTTATTCATACTTTGGAGGCTAACTGGTGATATTCAATATAGGCATGTATTTATTCCAAATTATTATTGATTGCCTGTAAAAGATCTAGTAGATTAACTTTTCATTTTTCAGGGAGTGGGGTTGGGAAATATTCCAAGCTTTTGAAAAATATACTAAAGTAGAAGAAGGTGGATATACATCATTAGATGATGTTACTGTCGTACCACCTAAGCAGCGTGATAAGATGGAAACTTTTTGGCTGGTAATTATTAAAGTCATTTTAAGTAAATTTATTATTATTACTATTATCATTTTATTAATTATTTCTTTAAACAGGCTGAAACATTGAAATATTTTTACCTTTTATTTGGTCCCGACGATCTAATACCGTTGGATAAATATGTGTTCAATACTGAAGCACACCCACTTCCGATATTCTCACCAACGTCAGAGGATGCACAGGCCAGAATTAAGAAGATGCCAAATTAATTTGTACGCATAGAAGTATTGGGACACTTTTATTACTAATTTTTTTTTTCTATTTTATTTTGTAAATAAACATTCTACAAAACACTTTATTTTAAATTTTAATAATTTCTGGATTTGTCATGTTTTCGACCGCAAATGTTAATATTGGTCAGATTATTGTCATTTGAATGAAAATTTTTACATATTTATATATTATAAATAAGGTTTAATAATTACCAAAAAAAAAATAGAATAAATTATTTAACTTATTTTTAATTATAAAGTGTAATTAAATAATATAAGAATGCATTATAGAAAAAATAAAAGCTATTATTATTTCTTAAAAGGTGTTATAAATTTGGTTATTTATTTTTTTAAAAATTTGGTACGTAGTATTTAATTAATTTTATATTATAAAAAAAAAAAAAAGGCTTAATTTTTGATAAATTTTTAAACTCGTAAGGGCAGTGACAGATATTACGTAATATCCTAGGGGGGGGGGTACCTAGAGATGATATTATATATATATTTTATATATGATCATATATGACGTGGGGGGGAGGGGGGTAGCCCCCTTGATAAAATGATATTACATAATATATGTCACAGCCCTTATAAAGATTATTTTAATACTAAAAAAAAAATAAAAGTTTATTATTTTAAAAATAATAAATAATTATAATTTATATAAATATTATAAATATTACAAACTAATCTCAACTCTTTTTGATAATTCTTTGTATCAAAATTTCACAGAGAAACCAAATTATAAAAACCTTATATATTATATTTTATACTGTTACAAGTGACTATAGCCTTCTTGTAAATATAGTACTTGCAATACAGCACATAGTGACAGAGATCTCAGAAACAACAAAAAGAGATATAAAGTGATATAGAAGTAAGATATTACTTTACTAGAGCAGTTTGGTATAGTTTATATACAGTTTATTCAAAGAGCAAAAGGTATATATTTATTATGATACAATATTTAAGATACAAGACTATCAATAGATATCTGTGCCTAAAGAATCCTAATAACTAAAGATTGCAGAAAACTAATCTTAAAGCTACAGAATTACAGAAAGCTAGGGTTTATATACTTTACAAATACTAAGAAAATACTATTATTATACAAAATACAAATAATAGAAAAGATATAAAAAGTATAAAAAGTATAATAGTATAAAATGTATAAAATATATAAAAGATACAAAAAGTACAAAAAATAAAAAAGGTATAAAAAGTATAAAAAATATAAAAGGTATAAAAGGTATAAAAGGTATAAAAGGTATAAAACATAAATCTCTAATTATCTGGCCAACTATTGGTCTGTTCCTTATGTATTATAGCTTGTTATAATTGTAGAGACCTTCTGGGTCTTGTAGAGGTATCCAATCTATTTTATAACAATACAAACAAAACTTTATCTAGCTACTGTTAAGTACAAAGTTTATTCACTAAATATTCTGTTTATTAAAATAGAGTTGAAAAAAACTAATAACAGATAGTTAAGCAAGGCACCTTGGCAGGTTATAGTATTACTAAGCAAAGAAGTAGTAAAGCAACTCTAAAGCTTTGTCAAGCACTATAGATATGAAAATAGAAGTAATGGCTTGTTTAAATACAATACTCTATATGATATAACTTTTATACTCATTTCTTTGATATATTTTATATTACTTTTTGGTCTCTACTATTCACTTATCTTGATAGCAAAAAATTTTTTTAAAAAAGTGAGCAAAAAAGCTTACTCCTGTCAAAAGATCAATATTGTTTATAGTTTTTAAATTCAGATAATACAGTAAATAGCAACTATATATTTAATCTAAATGAGTATAGAGCTACTATTTTGGGTTGACTCAGATTAAGATACTTCTAGAAGTAGCAGCAGGTAGCTTGAGATATAGGTTTTTAGATAGCAGCAGTATCTGGCTTAAGATACAGACTAGAAGTAGATCAGCTAAAAATTTTTGTAGTTGGTTTGTTAAAATAAAAGAAAATTTAATAATAAAGTAAAGCTTTATAATAGAGATATATAAATATTGTTTTATAAAATAGTATATAATTTTTAAACCTTGGTACAGGTTATAATAGTGCTGTTTTATTTGTTTTATTTCTATTTTTTTATGCTTTTTTATCTTGTTTTATTTATAATTAAATAGTATTTAGGTTTATTTTTCTTTTTCTATATTTCTTTTTCTTTTTTCTTTTTTGTCTTTTTTAAATTTGTTTCTTTTCTATTATAAATATACGTAGTATTTGGTTTTGTTTTTTTTGTATAGAAGTAAGAGATTGTTCAGATTTAGGTAAGAAAAGTTTTTAAAAAAAAGGAATAGACAATCTTGACAAGCTAACAATAAGCTTTTGTTAATCTTGCAAATAAGTTTTAAGAAGTTAAAACCCTGCAAGAGAGAGAATATATTGTTGAAGCAAATTATATATAAGTACTAAAGGCTAGTAGAAAAAGATTATAATAAAGCAATTTTATATTATAAGAAATCTGCTGATATGGGTCAAATGATTAGTATGTATAATGTTGCAAATTGCTATCGTAATGGTATCGGAGTACTGAGAGATATTCAGAGTGCAAATCATTGGTATAGAAAATACAGAAATCTTTTGAAAACTAATAAAGAAACAGATAAAACACTTGATATCGATCCAGACCTTAAAAAAGTATTAGATGATGATAATTATAAATTATCTTGGGTCGATTACTGTGATTTTAAAAACATAACAGAAATTGGAAAAGGCGGTTTTGCAACGGTATATTATGCACTTTGGGAGGATATAATTAATCATAGTTTTAAACCTGTTGCACTCAAAGAGATTCATGGGTCGAGCGATAAAGTCAAAGACTTTGTTAAAGAGTTGAAGAACTATTGTGAAATTGGATATGAGAATCCATCTTTTTTACAATGTTATGGTATATCAAAAAATATTGATTATATTATCGTAATGAGATACGCGAGCGAGGGATCATTACGTCAGAATCTTGAGCAAGTATCAAAGAAGAATTGGAAAGATAAATTGAATATTTTGTACTGTATAGCTTCGGATCTCGAATCGATTCATTCTCTGGAACTCGTTCATGGTAATTTACACACTGGAAACATTTTGCAAATGGAACTGGATAGTGCATACGTCACAGATCTTGATCTTTCGGGAGGAAAAGAGGATGGAAAGATTTATGGAATTATGCCTTATATAGCACCTGAAGTTCTGGAGGGTCAATCACATACGAAATCATCAGATATTTACAGTCTCGGTATCATCATGACAGAATTATCGACCGGAAGAAGAGCATTCGATGGAATTCCCTTTAATACTGATCTTAAAACTAAGATTATTGGTGGGACAAGACCTGAATGTTCTTATGCACCGAAATTTTATGTTAAATTAGCCAATAGATGCATGCATAATGACCCTGACAAACGACCCTCTGCTATTATAATTGTTAACAAGGTGGGCCATTGGTTAGACGAAATGAATCAAGATGATGACGAAGATGATAACGAGATTAAGAAACAAATTTTAGAAGCTAATAATGCCAAACCAGAATCAGTCGAGCCAAAACATTCGGATTATTATTATTCTAGTAAATTAATAAATAAAAATAAAACCGATAGTAAGATGTATGATTTAATAATCGAATAATTCTGCCGATATATCGAATTCGTAAATCTTATCAGAATCCTGGGTGCATTATTTCATATTCAAGCTGATTAATTGTAATCAAGATGAACCATTTAAAAAAAATAAAAACTATAGTGTTGAAAGTTTTATAAAAGTTATAGGACCCATAACTCTATAAAAAAAGTTTGTACAGTTATTGTAGGCATTGTCCAAAAAATCTGAACAGGGCTTATATTTGTACTGTTTTCATAACGACGTTTGTACGGGATGTAAAAATAGAAAATTTTTGATTGAAAATTATCGTATAAAAAACTATAAAAATCGCATTCATGCAATAAACATCCTTTAAATGTTCAAAACGGAGTCGATTTTTCGAACAAAAAATCGAATAATTTCAGAATTTTCCGAACAATTCCAAGAGATTTTTTTTATAGGGTAACTAAAAAAGGTCTTTAACCCCAATAAAAAGTATTTGTTTAAAAATTGCAAGTTAAGATAACAATTTTAATATAATTATGAGCATTCATACGTACAGTTTTTGTCAGTATTTGTAAATAGTTTGTAATAAATATATAATAAAAAAAAATTATAGCATATGATTTTATTTATTATATATTTATTAAAAATTATTTACAAACACTGTAACAAAAATTATACAATTGCTCACAATTGTATTAAAATTGTCATATTAATTTACAATTTTTATACAAATACTTTTTACTGGGGTTGAGTTGGCCTGATTTATGCAATTTTGTTCAATCGAGAAGACATCTTGTTGGGAAATTTCTTTTTGAAGGATATCTTTTCAGGAAACATCTTTAGGAGAAATATATCAAAATATTTGTCAGTGAAAAGGTTTCAGAAAAAACTTTTCTCTGGGGAACAGGAATTCAGAGTAAGGGTTTTTCGGTGAAAAAGTCTGTTGAATAAAGTTTTTTTTTAGAAATTCATGTTGTCGGGGAATTGGTTTTGTCGAGAAAAAAAATTTGGTAAAAATTTTTTATCAGTAAAATATACTGTCAGAAATATGTATTGTAGGAAAAAAGGGATATCGGAATTATGGGTTGGGGAAATGGTATTCGGGTAGGTAGGTTTCGGGAAAATGAGAATCAACGTTAATATCGGGTCCAACAGTACCAACGTAAATATCGTACTACGACATACGTACATACGTACCGTACGTACGTACTTATGAGCAAGCACACATTGCTATTTCTTGCTAAGCGACAATGCAGCAATACCGCAACCGCATTAATCCAAAGAAGGAAGCAAGTAAAGGCAGATATAATAAGATAGTGTTAAAGAGCAAATTTCCAAATAAATTTTATACTAAAAAGTAAACGTAACATGAAAAAATGAATCATTCTCACACAGCCTCTTTAGGGCAACTGGAGATGATTAAGGCTTTGTGAGCAGAAAACTGAAAAAGAGCAGCAGCATTCCACCATGATGTTGTTCATGATAGCAGAACACGGCATTTACACCAGAACTTGCGCAAAATCTAAAAATAATATTTTTTAAAACAGAATATCACAAGTAAATCGAATGTATGATTAGTAAGGATGGATCAGTCCTGAAAAGACCGAATAATGACCAGCCTTTTAACCAGTCTTACGGTTGTTCGGTCCTCAGTCTTGAGACTAGTCCGGACCGGTCTTCATGAATAACTAAAATAGCTAATTAAAATTATTAAAAAAGCACGTTACGTGATTGCTTATTTTCATATGATTTGACATTCTTTGCTAGTCAATGAAATTATTATGGTTTGAATAATTAAGGATTGTTTTTGGAACCTAGGCCTGCCTTATTAGGGACAGGGGCGGACTGGACCGGGCTGATCCATCCCTAATGATTGGTTGAAATGTTAAGTAGATATCTTTTATAATTTTTATAGCAATATATACAAAGTACAGCAAGACTACTTTATCATAATAAAATTTACGTATTATATAGTTAAAGACCTTACGATGAGCAAAATACAAATACAAATTCATTTATATATAAAGTTCTTAAGCTTATAAATAATCAATATTCCATCTACGAATGAAAAATACATACTCATAAAATTCATTACTAAGCACTAAGGACCTGAAATGTACGTGGTAAATATCTAGCTGTCCGAAGGAAATTGCGGTGGAGGAATAATCACGTAAATTTTGGATTTTGATTGGTCGATTAGGTCAAAACAATCATTACTATTACCGTTTCGGCCTTTGGATATAAATGATTCCGTACAACATTAACGTTACGCATATCGGTATAGTTACCGCAGTCAAAAACAAAAAAACAAATATACCTGTAGATCATAATACCATATGGTATTCCTCTACGTGATACAGCTTATATCATTCATATCGATATATGGATGATAAATATTAAAAAAAAGTATGCGTTAACTAAAAGGAGGCTTATGGCATTTTTACAAAAATGAGTTAATTATACTACGTAACATATAAAGCAGGCATTCTTCTGTATAATTTGACGTTTAAAGCATCGATTTACATAACGATAATAAGTTGATGCATGCGGTATACGATTAAACATGATCTAAAATTAGATTCATATTTGGCTAGCGTCGATAGTGCTTGTAGTCGATCCTTATTTATCGACTTGACTAAGTCGATATTTAAAATTCGGCTTAGCCGGCTAAATCAAAGTCGATCAATATTTTTTACCTTCAGAACTTTTCGGAGGTTTCATCAAAATTTTGACTATGCTGCTATGTACTAAGAGTTGTAATGCATCGAATCTGATTGGTTACTTTAATATAATCAAACATATGGGCTAGGTGCTGGAAAAAGGAGCGAAATTGACATCTTTTTTCACTTAAGCACAAAAATAGTTGTATTAATAAAATTTTTGCAGTATACTCTTTAAAATTTTGTATTTTCTTATGATCTATTATAAGATTTATAACATAAAAATTGATCTTTTGGAAAATCGGCTGACTAAGTTGATAAAATCGTCTACAGTAACATGAAATCGACTGCCTACAAGCACTATATGTCGATCCAACAGGTTATGCTAATAATAGATCGTTATTGTTATTGTTACACCAAATTTTAACCGATTTTAAGCCACTTTTTAGTTGACGCAGCCCATAAATTTGTTTTTTTTTCGGACAGTTATCATGTTTAAAAAAAAGGATCCAAGTGAACTTTGTCAACTCGGTTATAATCATGAATGTGGCATCGGAATTGAAAAAGATGAGAAAAAAGCATTTAAATATTATAAAAGAGCAGCCGAGTTAGGCAACGCAGTTGCGATGTATGATATTGGTCGTTGTTATCATCAGGGAATCGGAGTCGGAAAAGATGAGAAAAAAGCTTTTAAATATTCTAAGAAAGCTGCTGAATTAGGAAATGATGCTGCGATTTGTAATGTTGGAGTTTGTTATTTTGATGGAATAGGAGTTGAAAAGGATGAAATGAAAGCCTTCGAATATTATAAAAAAGCCGCAGATATGGGTTATGATGATGGAATATTTAGAGTTGGTTTCTGTTATTATTATGGAATTGGAGTCAAAACAAATTATCAAGAGGCATTCAAATATTACATGAAATCTGCAGATATGGGACATAATGGTGGAATGTGTAATATTGGTCAATGTTATTACAATGGAGAAGGAGTAGAAAAAGATTATAACAAAGCATTTGAATATTATAAGAAATCAGCTGATATGGGTGATATTATTGGTATAAATTATGTTGCAAATTGTTATCGTAATGGTATCGGAGTACAAAGAGACATTCAGAGTGCAAATCATTGGTTTAGAAAACACAGAAATCTTTTGAAAACTAATTTAAAAACCAATAAATCTCTTTATATCGATCCCGACCTTAAAAAAGTATTAGACGATGATAAATATAAATTATCTTGGATCGACCACGATGAATTTAAAGATATAAAAGAAGTTGGAAAAGGTGGCTTTGCAACAGTATATTATGCACTTTGGTTTGATAGAATTAATCATAGAGAGGGACATTTTGCACTCAAAGAGATTCATGGATCGAGCAATGATGTTAAAGATTTTATTAATGAGTTGAAGAATTACTGTGAAATCGGTTATGAGAATCCATCTTTTTTACAATGTATTGGTGTATCAAAAAATAATGATTATATCATCGTAATGACATACGCGGCCGAAGGATCATTACGTCAGAATCTTGAGCAAGTATCAAAGATGAGTTGGAAAGATAAATTGAATATTTTGTACTGTATAGCTTCGGACCTCGAATCGATTCATTCACAAGAACTTGTTCACGGTGATCTACATACTGGAAACATTTTACAATTTGAGCTAGACAATGCTTATGTCACAGATCTTGGTCTTTCAGAAAGAAAAAAAGATGGAAAAAAAATTTATGGAATTATGCCTTATATAGCACCTGAAGTTCTGGCGGGTCAATCGTATACGAAATCATCAGATATTTATAGTCTTGGGATCATAATGACAGAATTATCAACTGGAAAAAGAGCTTTTGATGGAATTCCGTTCGATACTAATCTTCAATTTAAGATCATTAATGGAACAAGACCTGAATGTACTCATGCGCCGGAATTTTATGTTAAATTAGCTAATAGGTGCATGGATAATGATCCTTGTAATCGACCAACAGCAACTATAATTGTTAACAAGGTGGGACATTGGTTAGATGAAATGAATCAAGATGATAATGATGTTAAGATGCAATTTTTAGAAAGCGATAAAGTTAAACCAAAACCTGTCGAACCAAAACATCCGAATTATTATTATTCTAGTAAATTAATAAATACGGACAAAGTCGATAGTGAATTACAAGATTTAATAATCAAATAATTCTGGTGGTACCCGGAAAAATGGTGCTGAACAGATTTGTCGGGTTACATGTTTGCCCACCAAATCTTGCGCTTCCTTCACAGGGTTTATGAATAAATTACTTGTGCTTAATAAAAGCAAGCCTCTAACCATCTTATGTTTCTATTTTTAATAAATAAAAAAAATGTAATTCATCATAATTTAATGAACTTGAACATTTAATCTTAAATATTTCGATCAAATAAATAATCACTATGCTTAGACTAAACCAATGCAAGTAAGAAATAATAATAGCTCATCTTAAGCATTGCGAATAAGAAATTATTTTAAATACATTGTTAAATTTTTCAGAGATAAAGTATTGGATAACAATGTAATACTTACGGACTATTCATAATTATATAGATAAACAAAAGGTTAAATTGAAAATTTTAAAAAGATACGATCGTTATATTCACAGATTAATAAACGTGAATAGGAGATTAATGAGATTAATAGCGTATCTTAAGTACTTTGATTAATAAATGATTATTATTTGAGTAGTTTATTTAAATGATTTGGTCGTATGGACGAAAATTTCCAGTCGGAACAATGTGATTATTAAAAAGTTAATGTGATGTCTAAAATTACATATGTGCTACATACGTATATATGATGTAATTGATACGTATGTATTAGATATAATAAATTTATTTGTGCTTACTAAAATTGATAATTATGGCACCGCATATTCTTCAAAATCATCATTAAGCCATCATGAAATTGTTAATCATAGTATGAATCGCATTGTTCCACACTACAAAAACTTACCTGCAATAACCGAAGGAATTATCAATCATTTTCGTGCAGTACTTCTTCAAGATATCAACAGTAAATTAGGTTTTCATCGAACTAATGAAGGATTAAAAACTATTCAATGGAACTTTCCAGAAAGTCTATTTTATATTTTTTTTTTCAAATGAACCTAGATTCTTATATCGACCATCCTTACGAAGATATACTTGTATTTTTAAAGGACAAGATGGTTATAACCGAATAGGTTCAATATTAGGATGTAAGTTTTGGGGGAAAAAAAAATGAAATGGGGTGTGAATCATTTGTATTAGTTGAAGAAAAGATATTGATGGTAATATCATTGAAAAAAATATAGAATTTATTTGGCGGGAAAAATCAATTACAAAGCAATGTTGTAGTAAAACACATTATATATCTCATGGAGTATTAAAGTGCAGTTTTGAATTGAGACGTGAAACAGTTGATATAGTATAGCAAATTAAATATGCAGATTTATAAATAAAAATTATTATAAAACAGAATTAGAAGTGCTATAATTTTAAAATATATTTTGCTAGATAGATTTGCTTTGAAGAATAATAGAATTTTCTTTCATAGCATAAGTTTCAAATTTTTTATTATTTAAATAAATTGATAATTCAAGTTAATTTTTGAAAAAAATAATTAGTTAAAATATACAGAATACTTATAATAGATAATAATTTTATTTTAAAAAAAAATAATTATGCAATAACTAAAATTGTTTAATACATATATTTAAATATCTGTTATTTTAATTACTTTTTTTGAATATTTGATGGGCAAATTATTTATTTTATAATAAATTTGCCAATTTTCAATACTATTAATTTGATATGCCACAGATTGGTTTCCATTAGTTCCTCTCATAGTTGTTGCACCAAAGAACAATTGAACCTAATTAAATTAATTTTAACATATATATAAATAGTAAATAATAATAATATTTATATACTTACATGTTCATGGTTTTTTTTTTTCTATGCTTGAATTATTAAACCATTGTAAATAAAGATTTTGATGATATAATGTATGCATAAATGAAGATATATGGCATGCTAAAACATGTATATATGTGTTCGTTGATATAGTTCTTCTTGTTCAATTTGGCCATCTAATGTCTTTTTTGTTAGTCTGGCAAAATCTTGAACCTATTTACATGCATTATATGAAAATTGATTAATATCATTTTCTGTTAATTTATTATTTTGCATTGTACAATATAAACAAAAAAATCTTCTCCATAAAGCTTCAATGTCTTGCCCCCTATTACCAGAAATAAAATTAGAAACTGGAAATTTTTCAACAATTTGGTCACATTAGTGTATGCCAACTCCACTTTGCAGTTTTGGTTTTTTTTTTCAGGTGGAATAAACTTAAAACTATTAATACCAATAGATTGCATTGTAATTTCTATTTTTTCTTGAATAGATATAGAATTTGTTGATTTGTCAAAAGCAATTGGATCATGCATTAATTCAAAAAAAAAACATTCAAGCAAAACATTCACAATATGAAGTATTAAATGTAAAATATCTGGTATATAATATGTAGAAGTAAGAAATAGCAATAAACTTGTACAAACTTGACCTAATATATACATATAAATTAATATATATAAAATAATAAATTATATGTAATAATATATATAATATATATCTTTATTATTTCTAGTATTTGGCTAAATTTGATTAATATTCCATCGATCATTTTTATGACAATTACACTATAAACAAAAATAATTTGATATTGGTCCATTTATTCCTAACACTAGTGACATATATTTCTAGTCTGCAGTAAAACAAATTTCAACTTTCCAATAAATATTATCTTTGTTATTAAAACCTTTTTGATGCAAATTAATTAATTATTCAATAATTTGTTAATATGCAATTGATAATAATTCATATTTTTCATTTCTAGAATAAAGACAAATACTAAATATACATATAAGTTGTAAACTTAAATATAGTATTTAACATTACTAAAATAATTTAGTAAACTAATAAATAATTAAATAAATATAAAATTTATATACCAATATTGATTTTTTGGACTAAGTACATCATTTTTTTCATTAAGAA